TAAAATATGAAAATCTATCAACATGATCCACCATATAAACAAACTGAAAAAGAAATACTGTATGATCATCTCCCTAGATGCTGAAAAAGCCTTTGACAAAATTCAACAAGATAACAGGAACATTCCTAAACATAATAAAAGCAATATACACCAAACCAACTACCAAAATCAAACTGAATGGAGAGAAAATCAATCCAATTCCTCTAAAATCAGGAACAAGACAAGGCTGCCCTCTTTTTCCATATCTCTACAGTATCGTACTGGAAGTTCTAGCTAATGCTATAAGACAACAAAAGGAGATCAAGGGGATCTAAATTGTAAAGGAAGAAGTCAAACTGTCACTATTTGCAGATGATATGATAGTTTACATAAGCGATCCAATAAACTCTACCAGGGAACTCCTACAGCTGATAAACACCTTCAGAAAACTAGCAGGATAGAAGATAACTCAAAAAAAAAAATCAGTAGCCCTACATTTTTCAGACGACAAAGAGACAGAGAAAGAAATCAGACAAACATCACCCTTTACAATAGCCACAAGCAACATAAATTATCTTCATGTGACGCTTACCAAACAAGTAAAAGACCTATATAATAAGAACTCAGTGGCTCTAAAGGAAGAAATGAATGAAGATACCCAAAAATGGAAAGATCTCCCATGCTCTTGGATAGGTAGGATAAACATAGTAAAAATGGCAATCTTGCCAAAAGCAATCTACAGATTCAATGCAATCCCCATTAAAATCCCACCACAATTCTTCACTGACCTTGAAAGGATAATAATCAACTTTATATGGAAAAACAAAAGACCCAGGATAGCCAAAACAATCCTTTACAATAAAAGAATTTCTGAAGGCATCACCATTCTTTACTTTAAGCTCTTCTACAGAGCTATAGTTCTGAAAACTGCCTGGTATTGGCATAAAAATAGACAGGTAGACCAATGGAATCAAATTGAAAATAGTGATATTAACCCCCCACACCTATGAACACCTGATCTTCGATAAAACACTTAAATTATACAAAAGGGCGAAGCATCTTCAACAAATGGTGCTGGCACAATTGGATGAGAGTGTGTAGAAGACTGCAGAATAAATCATGTCTGTTGCCATGCACAAAACTCAAGTCAAATGTATCAAAGACCTCAACATCAATCCAGCCACATTGAACCTCTTAGAAGAGAAAGTAGGAGGTACCCTTGAACAATTGGTATAGGAGACCGCTTCCTGAACATAACTCCAGGAGCACAAACACTGAGATCAACAATTAATAAATGGGACCTCTTCAAACTTAGAAGCTTCTGTAAGGCAAAGGACACAGTGGACAAGACCAAACAGCAGCCCACTGACTGGGAAAAGATTTTCACCAATCCTATATCTGACAAAGGGCTGATCTCCAAAATATACAAAGAAATCAAGAAACTAGTCAACAAACACCAAATAACCCTATTAAAAAATAGGGTACAGAACTGAAGAAAGATTTCTCAGTAGAAGAATTCAAAAAGGCGAAAGACACTTAAGAAAGTGCTCAACATCCTTAGCTATCAGGGAAATGGAAATCAAAACAACTTTGAGATATCATCTTACTCCTGCCAGAATGGCTAAAATTAGAAACTCCAATGATGGCTCATGTTGGAAAGGATGTGGAGAAATGGGAACACTCCTCCACTGCTGGAGGGAGTGCAAACTCATACAGCCATTTTGGAGATCAGTATGGCAGTTCCTCAGGAAAATGGGAATTAGTTTACCACAGGACCTGGCAGTCCCCCTCTTAGGCATATACCCAAAGGATTCACATCCATGCAACAAAGATATCTGTTCAACTATGTTCATAGCAGCACTATTTGTAATAGCAAGAACCTGGAAGCAACCTAGATGCCCCTCAATTGAAGAATGGTTAATGAAGATGTGTCACATCTACACAATGGAATACTACTCTGCAGAAAAAAATAATGGTATTTTGAAATTTGCAGGCAAGTGGGTGGCACTTGAATAAACCACCCTGAATGAGGTAACCCAGTCACAAAAAGAGTAACATCGTGTGTACTCACTCATATATGGATTTTAGACCTAGATCAAAGGATTACCAGCCTATAATTCACACCACCAGAAGAACTAGGATACAAGGTGTATTCTAAGAGATTCATATAAAGTCCCTCACAGAACTGGTAATGGACAAGTCGCCCATAGCACAGGGAAGTGGGGGGGCAGTAAATGGAGAGAGAAGTAGGAAAAAACCTGGGGGAGCAAAGGAAAACACGTGCGACCAGGAAAATTGATCCTGGTTAGGAATAGAAGACAGGAGAGAGAATGAAAGAGAGAGAGAGAGAGAGACAGAAGGAGAGAGAGGGGAGAGAGAGAGAAAGAGAGAGAGAACATAAAAGAGGGAGCCAATATTGGTTTGAAGATAAAATTGAACACGAAAGGTCTAGAAAACTACAAGACTGCCACCAACTAACAATTTGAGCTTCCGTGGAAAGGCTACCATAATTTTGCTTCCCGGATAGTGAGATGAACAACTAACTCATCCATGAAGCCCTCATCTAATACCTGTTTGAAACAGAAGCAAACACCCATACATAAACACTGAGTTGAAGTAGAACCCAGATGCAGATGGAGAGGACAAGACCAGGCTGCATAAACACATAGAGACAGCTTACCTGAACAAGGAGTAGCTAAACAGCCCCTGGACTGAAAGCTGGGAAGCCAGCATGGGACTGACTCAGGCCCCCCTGAATATGGGTCTCAGCCAGAAGGACTGAGCAGTCTATGGAATATATCCCTGGTGCACAAAAGGATCTTGCAAACAAATCCCCTATGGAGGGATAACTGCCTTAATCTAGAGACAGGAGAGAAGCCCTTGTCCCTACTTCACATGACCTGTCAGATCTACATGACCCCAACTGGATGGCATTCCCCTACATATGGAATTGGGGTGGGTTGATGGGAGGGGAGGGTGATTAGGGTGCATGTTAGAGGGCAGATTGGGTAAAAGGGAGGGAAGGAAGAAGGGAGGGATGGAGTGGGAACTGGGATCAACATATAAAATAATAAATTAAATAAAAAAATGCTTTGACTCCAAAATTTAAATTCAAGGACAAATTACTGGGGAAAAGGATTTCTATTTTTGTTTCCACCGAAAATGAAAAGCAGTAGATTCCTTCCAGACTAATATAATGTAATCAAGCCAGACTGCCTGAAATAGAGTACCTACATTCAAAACAGCTTTACCAGGTAGCCTTGCAGACTACAGCCAGGATTGCTGCATCTTCTTAGAATCCCCCATGACAGCGCCCCTTACTAGCAGGAAGCAGTTTGGAAAGAACAATGCCCAAATTCCCAAAGATTGTCTATAAATGTTTGTTTTCATTTAAATGGAGTTGGTTATATAAAATAAATAAAAATTAAAAAAACAAACGTTATGAAAAGTACTGTAAAATATCATCTTTTAGACAGGAGGAATGGTTAGACAATGAAATCTCAAAAATATGATTCCTAAAGGTAATTTATATAGTGACCAAACCAATTGGCATAGCACCATGAAGTATGGAATTTCACAAAGTCCCATCCTGGTATGAAGAGGTGGAGAGAAGCAATGAATATTGAGAGAGGGAGAATAGTTTTCTTCAATGAGAAACTGCATAAGTAATCTAGCCACAATTTGTCAGTCTGAAACACATGTACATATGAGAAATAAAAGGTTGCCATTTATAGTTATAGAAAAGAGGTGACCATGAAAGTTTGAAGGAGCTGGGAAGAAGGGTGTATTAAGTGGCCTACATTTGTAAACTGTAGACCAAAGATCATGGTACAAATAAGAGGAACAGATGATAATTCTCCAAATCATCAATTTCATGATATTACTTTTATTACTTTAATTCCCACCAATATTCAGTACATCACAGATACATTCTAAAATATCATATCTACATGATAAAGTTGTTTTAAGTGAGAGATAGTTGTATATACTTAGGAGGTGTTATGTAACATCTCATACATATATACATTGTGTAATAAAGGAATTAGGGTAATTATCCAATTTATCCCCTGAAATTTTTACTTTCAACCTTGTCTCATTTGAGATATGAGATATTATTTTAACTACATTTATCATACTATGGCATCGCTTACCAGGACATATTCTAGTTAACTAGAATAGAAATAGAGTAAGTGGTATATAACTCTTAAAAACTTTGACTTTGTTCTCTTTAAATTAGGCAAATTAGGGTGATAGGCAGATTCCATATTTGTATTATTTTGCACTTTGACCAACTGAGTATAGTAGTTCTTCATTCTCCCTAATAAAACAACATTAGATAACTATTGCCCTTTCTTTTTTCCCAGGGACAGGGTTTCTCTGTGTAGCTATGTAGACCAGGGTAGCTTTGAACTCACAGAGATCCTTTTACCTCTGTCTCCCAAGTGCTGGAATTAAAGACATAGTGCACCACTACTTCCCAGCTCTATTTTTCTTTCATATGAAAATAATTCTGTCTGAGATGAAGTAGTTTTAATATTCCTGTAACATTACATAGCTTCTATGTTGCTCTATTTTCAACAGTTTCCCATGTGGGTATTGATCAAACGAAATGTATAAAGTTCAAACAACAATGTGTTGTAAGTATGCAACACACAGAAGATTTTGAAGAATGAAAGCAAAAGATATGAGCAAAGAAATAATTTGATGTCAAATTTTAGAAACAATTTGTCAACTTTGGCATAAGTACTACCACATTTAAGTATTTGTGCACTCATAATGTATATGAACCATGTGTTAATAGTGTAGCAATTTGTCAATATTTACTGCTTATACTATTGACTATAATGTTACAAATAAAATCAACATGTAGAAATTATAATAATCTAATAATATTTAATACTAATAAATAATGAATCACCAAAAAGTTATAACATATGTGTGGCACACATTGCATTTTCAATAAAAAGCACTATTCTGTGACAATCTCCAGGGAAACTGAAAGATGAGTAGTGAAGAAATTATTATGTTTTTGTGGAAGATAATGTCCCAAAGACTCTTGTCATGGCCCCCAGGACTTCCTTATTTCTCAGGCTATAGATGATGGGGTTGAGCATAGGGGTGAGGATAGTGTAGAAGACAGCCAGAATCTTATCTTCTGTGGGGGAACGGAGACTCCTTGGTCTAAGGTAAGTGTAGACAAATGGTGCATAGTAAAATGTCACCACAGTTAAGTGAGTTGAACATGTGGTGAAGGCTTTTTTCTTTCCCTCTTTTGAGCGCATATGGAAGACAGCAAAAAGGACTCGTCCATAGGAAGCTGTGATGCCAAGGAAAGGAAACAGGAGAAACAGGCTTGTGCTCACAAATACCATGTATTCATAAACCCAAGTGTCCATACAGGCCAGGGGCAACATGGCTGGGACATCACAGAAGAAATGGTTAATGGATCTAGAATGACAGTAAGGAATGTGAAGGGCATAGACTGTATGTGCTAGAGAGTTGATTGAGCCCAATATCCAGGACCCTATAATCATCTTCAGACACATCATTTTGCTCATGCGAGTGGGATAATGAAGGGGGTGGCAGATGGCAACAAAACGATCATAAGCCATGGAAGCCAAGAGCAAACCCTCAGAACATGCCATAGTTAGGAAAAAGAATGATTGTACTCCACAGCCCAGGAAGGTAATGCTTTTCTGGCCAGAGAAGAAATTAAATACCATCTTGGGGACAGTGGTAGAAATGTACATCAGGTCCATGAGAGAGAGCTGGCTGAGGAGAATGTACATGGGAGTGTGAAGCCTGGGATCCACACGAATGAGGTGGATCATTGTTGAGTTGCCAAACAAGGCTAGAGAGAAGACAAAGATGATGAGCAGCAACAGTAGAAGGCCTGTCCGGTTTTGTGGAAACAACCCTAACAAAGTGAAATCACTTGAGCTCTGATTCCATTTCTCCATGAAAATGTATTGCTTTCTCTTATTTGAAAAGGGACCTAAAAGTCAAACACATCACCATATGAGATAGGGCAGGAGAATTAAAAGGAACTAGCTTGTAATGAATGCTTGCACAGAATTGTTCTTCCTCCAGCACTGTCTTTCTGTTGAGCTTATTTTGAAGTCTGACCTGAATATTCCTTTCCACTTACCTCCTGCCATTTACTCAGTTCAAAGTTGTAGCAACATGAGTGAAATATCTATCACATTTATTACTAGTAACTCCACATGAGACTGTTATTTGGCATAATTAAGTACAGACTATGCTCCCCTTTGTCTTCTGTTACTCTGTCCTTTGCAAGACTGTCATTTCTGGCCATCCTTCCTCAACTGGTCCTATACTATACACATCCCATCATGCCTTCTGAATAGAGAAGAACCTCATATGGGCACTTTTTTTTTTTTTTTTAAAAAAACTTCCTTGAACACTGATTTAGCTGAAATAGAAAGGACATTCTAGTCAATCTCTCAGCAGATGTTTCCAATATGAAGCTTTGGACAGAGTCTGCACAAAAGTAACATATCACATGCTGTCTTTCTTTGTTTTTAAATATGTGTTCATTGGTGTTTGGTGTTTTCCCAGAATGTGTGTCTGTATGAGGGTGTTAGATAGGATATTGGACATACAGTTGTGAGCTGCCATGTGGGTGCTGGCAATTGAACCCAGGTCTTCTGGAAGAGGTCAGTGTTCATAAACACTGAGATATCTCCAGCCCCACATGATTGATTTCTATGACAGGGATGCACAGATATGTACTCCTAGATCACTTCTCAGTCATTTATACACAAACTCTGAGGACAGTTACGAGTTAGTATTTTGTTTCCAATTTTAGAAACTGTCATTTTGATATACAATGTTAGGAAATGGGTATTTTTTTAGAATTTTTTTAGGCAGCCAGATACCTGGATTTGAAGGTTTGGATTTCAGGCACTGAGTCACAGCCAAATCTTTCACTTATTTCCAGAAAATTTCTTTATTTGGTCTGGACCTTATTTAACACACCAGAGAGATGTGAAGAACCATATTCTTGGTTACACTTTGACTTTAATATCTTCCAGGGGCTCAAGCAGATGTAATGTTAGTGTACCCCTTGATTATTCCAGAAGACATGAATAGTTCAGAGTTGTTTAAAGCTGTTATGAAGAATCCTATTATGCAGGAGAGATACAAATGCAGGATGCTAGGATAATTTCTGCCAAAGTTAAAGATTACACACACAACAGGGATACATAGTAAGAAATCTACAGAGTATGAGACCAAAAAGGAAACTGACCATCAGAGTCCCTACTGAGATTTAACACTCCTTGGGACACCCAAGAACATGAACCTCAATGAACTGTATTTAGCACACATCAGCTCCTCAAAAATTGTCTATCCCTTTGCTCAGTTTTACTTAGCTTTTGAGAAGCCGCAATAACATAAATTTTAGCCACTTGTTTATATCACAACTTTCAAAGATAGCACATTATACAATTCAAACACACTTATGTTGTTCCTCTTGCATTTTAAGCTCACTTTTTCTTTTCTAACTGTAGTTAGAAAATTCATATTCTTCATTCATGAGAAAATAATTCCTCATGACAAGAAAACCATACCAGAACACTTCCCCTGTCATCTGGACTCACCTTTTCCAAAGGTCTTGTATTTGTATTTGTTAGAGAAAGCACATTTACCATGAGATTTGTTGCCCGAAGGTAATCAGTTATTCCTAGGAAGACTTCAGCACACCTTTCTGCTCACATAGACTGTCATGTACACTGCAAGATCATCTTTCAATTATGACAGTCCTACCTCAACCCACCCCTCTTGTTTTTTTGTCTACCAAAATCCGTGGAAAGAAATTTTCAAGAATTATTTACTAGGCATATTATTTATAAGGAAACCAGAAAAAAATTTCCTTTCCCTTCCTGAAACAGTCTCACTGCTTGTTCTGAATATCATTATTTACTAGTTATTGGTTTGAGTGAAACTCAAGGAGCATTTAATCTCTATTTCTCACATGTTAGTGTGATGAAAGAGAAAATGGCAAATGCTATGTTTTATATGCCCAATCTTGGATTACTAAACCTTAGATATTTCTCCTTTTCTTCTAATTGATCCCTCATGTCCAAATCTACAGAGACAAAGGCTTGGCCATTTCCCTTGGTTTAAGTGATCTGAGGTAGCTTAGTTCTGAACTTAGAGAAATAAATATATGACAATCATCTCTCCTGTAATCATAGGATGCCTGAAAATAGACTGAGGAGAGAGGTGTGGGTACAGAATTATTTCAGAATATGGCTTGTAAGGAAGTTAGGCAATATGTATCAAAGTCCCTCATTAAAAAAAAAAAAATGGACACCAAAGGGCTACGCTGCTAATATACTGAAAAACTGTGTGAGACAGAAATTCTATGTTCAAGGTCACACGTTGATGTGGAGGTCTTATGGCAAAGTCAATATTCAGATTCAATTCAGGCTGACAGGCCATTGAGTAAGAAAACAAGTTAGATGAATTTCATTGTAAATAAGAACTTGTGTTCAAATATGTAAATATTCTATAATTTTAGGAATATCCTAAGAATAAACTGGGAGAACATATGCCATCTGCTTGCGTAATGTGTATACAGAAACAGAAATTAGTAGAATTTGTCATTCCAATTTAAGTATCCATTCTGCCTTAAAATTATGCTTCATAGTAATTTGATAATATGCTTAATTTGCTTGAAGACATAAAAAGATACCTTAATCTTTCCAAATGATCCTAATAAATTACATAATATTGTAATTTCCTTTTTACAATGTATTTGGGTTGATAACTTGTCTATGTATCTCTAGGTTTAACATCTTTTATGTGTATGTGTGAGAAAATGTGCTAGTTTTCTGTGTTTCAAATATGATTTCCTGGATTTTACTTAAACTTCCTATATAAAAATGTGTTTACTGGGCTGGAGAGATGGCTCAGCCGTTAAAGGCTAGGCTCACAACCAAAAACATAAAAATGTGTTTACTATATTTTATAAGTAAAATAAAACAGAAGGGAACAATCAAGTAAACAAAAAATGGTAGAAAGTCATCTGTACATTTTTTTTATATATATAAAGAATGGTAAAGTAAAAGGTTACGGCTTTTACATAGGAAGTATTCTTGGAAGATTAAAAAGGTTTCTATAATTTTTTTTGAAGGTCTGATAGAACACTGCTGTGAATCTGTTTGTGCCTGGATCCTTTTTAGTGGGAAGCCTTTTTACTACTATTTTTTAAAATACTTTTATACAGTATATTTTGATGATTTCACCATCCCCAAACTCATCACAGATCCTCCTTCTCTTTCCATGTTTATTTTATTTATGTTTGTTCTCAAATTGGTTGTCTTACCACTACTTAAATCTCTTTGTCCTGAGTTTGTTTTGGTTACTAATCTTGTCTTGATTTAACTTTGGTAGCTTGGAAAAATCTAGAAATCCATCCATTTCTTTTAACATTTCAAGGATAATGAAGTAGAGATTTAAAAGTATTCTTTGGTGTTTGTTATAAAGTTTTTCTTCTCATTTCTGATTCTATTAATTTGGGTAATTTTTTTCTTTCTTTTCATTAGCTGGATCAAGGGTTTATTGAGCCATTGTGTTGATTTGTTTATCCTTTGTTTACTTTTCTTTTTCTTTGTTTCTATTTCATTAATTTTTTATCTCTGATTTTTAGTTTTCTTGACTTGTAGAGGCGTATAGGTTTCATTTTTCCCCCTCTAAATTTGAGTTGCATCACTAAGTCATTTTTTATGTTTTTTTCTGACTCTATGTAGGCACTTTGAGCTATAAATTTCCTTACAGCACTGTTTTGCCTTTGTCTTAGTGTTGTTGTTGTGTTGTGCTTTCATTTTCATTTAGTTCCAGAAGTCTTTTTTTTCTTAATTTCTTCTTATCAGCCAACAATGAGTTGTTCAATATCTATGAGTTTGAATACTGACTATAGATTTCATTGCAGACAATGTTAAATTTCATTACATTGTTATTATGTAGGAAAATTGGAATCATTTAAATTTTTCTGATTTTGTTAAGATTTGTTTTCTAACTGAAAATATGAAAACTTCAGAAGGCTGCTTTGTAGAATATATATTATTTATTATTTAGTGTTTAGATAAAATATGCTGCAGATATAACTACATTTGACAAGTGATATCATTAATTCTGCTGTTTCTCAATTTATTTTTAGTCTTAATAGTCTGAATATTGGAGAAAATCAGGTACTATTGAGGCGATGATATTAATCTGTGTCTTTAATTACAGTGGTACACATTTTTGTGAAATTTAATATACCAGAGTTTGTCCTAAAGAATAGGATTATTCTAAATGGAAATATATAAAAGAAAACAAACTAGAAGATTAAAGTATATTACAAAAGGATTTTGAGAGTTGAAGTTTAAGAAATTATAATATGAATATAACTGAGTTAAATAAAATTAAAGATTATCAAAATTCTTAAACAAGAATCTAATAAATTCAATATCCCTAAGGAGCACTGAGATGGCTTAGTGTTCACTTATGTCAGCACCATTTGTGAAGATACTTTCTTTTTTTCCATTATATAATTTTAGCTTCTTTGTCAAAAAGTAGGTGTTCATAGGTGTGTGAGTTAAAATCAGGATTTTCAATTGATTCCATTGGTCTACCTGTCTATGTTAGTGCTAATACCAAGTTGTTTTCAGGAAAATAGCACTGTAATACATTTTGAAGTCAGGGAGGGTGATGTCCCTGACAGTTACTTTATTGTACAGGGTTGTTTTGGCTACCCTGGGTTTTTGTTTTTCCATATAGTTCAGTATTGTTCTTTCAAGGTCTATGAAGAATTGTGCTGGGATTTTGATGGGGATTGCATTGAATCTGTATATTGCTTTTGGCAAGATTGCCATTTTTACTATGTTGAGCCTACCTATCCAAAAGATCTTTCTATTTTCTGGTATCTTTGTTAATTTTTTTTTCCTTTAAA